TACTAACTCAAACAACCACATTAATCGGGCATTCCATGTTGTTTTTTTGTTTCGTCCCGATTAGGTCCCACAGATTAAGATCCACCTAGTTCCATCAAAATTAGCTTCGGTTTCGAAAGATGAGAGACAGAGAATGAAGGAAGTAGAATCACAGACTGAACTCACTCCGCTTTCGTGGTCACATTCAGAGCCTGGTGCAGATTGGAAAACAGGTCTTTGAAGAAAATTAGTCGTTCACGTTCGAAATCTTGCGTACGAGAAAAAACCTGGGTGAAATAGATAATCAGGGACAAGATATTCGGCGATTGAGTACAAATGAGAGTAATCAGAGAAATTGCATTTCGGTCCGTTACAGAAAACGGTTATTAATTAACCGGTATCAATGTTTCATACCCACATCTTATTCGACAAATCTCATTTTTACACAGCACAAACAGCATTTTAGTTTGGAATGTTTAAGTCAAGTATGGTAAAGGGATCACTTTTGGTACCCCGAGGGGTGAATATCAGCAACCACAATGTGTCAAACAATGGGAAATATAGTAAACCAATGAGATGTACGCCTACCATACGGATCGGTTCACACGAGCGACGAGGGACATGATTTGGACAACGTAGCCGTTAAGTGTGGAGAACAAAAGTAAATTCCGTAAACGAACAACTCATTGCTAAAACCAGTGAGAAAATATTCAAAGACGGACAGGAATCATCGAATAAACCGTAAAATTGCGTATTCATGTGTCATGGTGATCGTGACGCATGCAAACCCTAACGGTTGAGCAAGAGTGAGTTCACTCTCACATCGGAGAACATTGGGAAACATATTGGCATGTTTCCTGAACTTTCCATTAGAGATTTTCCGAAGTATGTATGTTGCGATGCACGAGATACGGTTCAAACATTGGTTGCTGGGTTCATTGTGACACAATACGCATTGAAAAAATCCACTAGGAACATCAATGAACTTACCGTTGTACCTAGACTGTTAAAATGGCTTCCTCGTCCCATACCACTTTGGTTATCATTAGAATACGCTAATTGCATAACAATTCGTTCTGTCCGAGGAATAACTCACTTATGTCTGCGACGTGCTCATCAGGACTCTCCAACGAAAGTATGACATAGCAGGGTATACGAATCACAAATCTATATTAGGAGAAAAAGGTTTGCGACACCATTCTGCCTAAGCTATCCACTATTACTTTTTGCGTGCAACCAACGGCCAAAAGTCAAGGATAAAGTTGGATAATGGTGGTATTCTGCACATCAAAAACAACCCTAAGGTTATATGATGAATTGAGGCAGTTTATTCGCGCACGGGGCATAATTCGAGTCTTCGAAACTAGCGGAAGGAACATCACCTTTGTCGGCTCAAACAAGCAGGGATTGATGAAAAGTGGAGCAATGGCAGTAGCAAATAGCTTAGTTAAGTAGGATCACACGGTCCATGTGGAGGCGTTTTCTCCTGCCCGTACACACTCAGCGGAAGATTAATATTCGAGGTCAAATAATGAATTCTGTCCATTGCAGAACATATAGTAATTTAGTTTGAGCTTAGAAATCATTTTTCAGAACAATTAATCCGCCTTGAACATCTGAAAACAATCGTGGGACGTACAGCTCAACATACACACACACACACACACACACAGCAAAGCTGTCTAACACCGAACTACCATACTAAGGCGTGGCATACACAAAACAAGTACAAGCCAGGCAGAAGCACAATGATGTCGTGATCCTGGGCTGAATCATTATGTAAAAGTCAAGTTAGAAACAAAATTATCCACGCGTGCTAACCCTAACACCTGCGCATGAAAATGAGGGCAAGGGAAAATTCGGAGAAGTTTCAAAAGGGGCTCCACAATAACTCTGTACAACAAAAGCACTGGTTACTTTGTTTGTTTCAGACACTGGGAGGCGGAAGAACAAAGCCAAACAGTGTCGTACTTTTAGCTGTTCTGTAACTGACGTAAAGTACGCCTGGCTGGTACTAAAACACTTGTTGAGTGACGCACTCCGGTGGTTCAGGCACTCGGGCACAAAAAGTGGCCGACGTGTGCACGGCAAGTAGATTAGCGCCACAATGGCTTAACTAGGTAAATAAAACAGTCGTATGAAGGATCGATTCAAAAAAGAATTCATCCATAATTCGACTGTAAAACAAATAATCGAAGGTGGTCAACTAGAAGCAGCAGAAAACTGGAAATGCTTGCTGGATATCGGGGATCTGCGGTGAAGCGACAATTGTTAACTACTGAGGGCAGAAGATTCTTGCCCATGTCGAGGGGGCTATAAATGGATTGTTGGAACCCGGTCAATCGGCACAAAACATCACTTCGACGACGGTAATGAGTCACCTACCACGCGACTGTGTGGGAACAACGCACAAAAGCTAGCTGGCATGCAAAGACGGAAACCAACAAGCTCGTGTGCGTTTGTACGAATAGACAGACACACATGTACAGAAGACCAGGGTCCTGGGACATACGGCACCAACTTAGTGTAGAGTCTGTGCGCGTGCAAATGATTCGCACAAGGGACAGTAGTTTCAAACCAGTTTTGTGTGTCTGTTTCTACGTGCCAGACAAATACAGCGACAGACCCGATACAGCTTGCTGGTTAGTTCGACACGGGAAATAAATTGGGCACGACCGACGGCTTCACCAAATGGATGACGCAGCGATCGGTTCAGTAAAATGTAGCACATACCCCTACGTGTGAGTGCTGAAAATTAGGGCAAATGAATGTATTTTGTAATTTATATCTAGAATACAAAAATCTGGTCTACTTGCCTTAGCTTAACTCTAAACGTCCCACCGGTTACTTGTTTGGGCCTCAAAAAGAGGGATAGTTGCACTGCGTTTGGATTCTTGACAGCAGCAGGCAGTAGACTTCAAACTTCATCCAAATTATTCTGTGACGGTGAAGTAGCGATTGTCGAAACAAACCAACAATCCTTCACTTTGCCGAGGTTGCATCCACGGAAACATACAGCAACCGGATAAACACCGTGAATTTTGGGAAATAGAACGTCTATATCGGTCTTCTTTCCACGAAGCTAGTATTTGGAAGCGCCATTCGATCAACATCATCACGCTATCAACGGCGCATACAAAAACAGTAATCTGTGGTATGCATTTCCGTCTCATGTGATTGAGTCTGAAGTAAGAGTGGGATCACTGCAAGAAAGATACACCTACACGACAACGCTGAAAAATTTTGAAGGAACATAGACCAAAAATGAGGAATAACATGAACACGAAATGCACGGAGAAGAGGAGAATCGTACACAGTGGCATCTCTAGTACCAGTTGACTCCCCTCCTTGGGGACGCGTTTCTAAGCAATTGTGCTTGGAAACTCAGTGATTAATCCAAAAAAACAATTAGAGAACCTTAGGTGATAGGACTAAGTGTTTTAAACACTGGCAGTCGTACATCTACTAGCACTCAATTCAGATCTAGTTCACTTGCACTTCGCATTTTGTTTTGACCGTGCTTTAAGTAATTTCATTTACTTTTCGAGCACCAGTCGACTAAATGAGTAGTCGGAATATATCAACCAAAATAACAGTGCAAGATTAACGATTAGAAGTAAAAAGAACTGCGACTAGTACCGAACAGGATAATTCGGATGGCTTAATTCAGTGACGGGTCACATTCCCGCGCTTCATACGGCTTTCTGAAGACGCCGGTGGCCTCTTCTGTTGCTAATACACGGCATCATCATCATCGTACAGCGAAATACAGTGAGGCGAACTTCACTGATCGCTTCCGAACTCGCAATGCAAGGTCAGTGGTAAAATTTAAGGTGGACAAGGATTGGACCTATTTTAAGGGAGAGGGAAGAAGGTGAACCTCTATGGTCAACACACAGAGTACCCAATCGAACTCTGCATACATACCGTTCCAACCATCCTGACCTGGTAAGAAACGACAACAAGAACGCCACTGCTGCCGCTTCGCTGCCATATCCTTCAGTGTCTACAACCAACAAGTTTTAGAGTCTTTCGAACCCCAACCTGGAAGGCGAGAGACACCTAATGGCTCTGTGCATTTCTTCATGCCTCGTCTCCACGTCATCGATTGACCTCCACGTGGTTTTCTCCAGCCCGGATTGGCTACAGCGAATAAAACGCGGTGCGGCAGACGACAGCTGGGCATACGCAATAAGTGCCCTGGCCAGCGAAATCTACTAATCTTAATTCGGTGTGCCAGCAGGTTTATACCTGATACACTCCCAAACACACGACGGCTCACCTCCAGACCACTAACCCGTTCGTTCCATCCAATGTGGGCTAAACTGCGTAAACACCGATAATGGAAAACTTCCAGTCGACGGATATCTTCTACTCGCAAATTCAGGGTCTTACAACCATAAAGCAGGACTGAAAGAACGCTAGCACAATATACACAACCTTCCAGCTTCAGTGAAACGTCGCGTCTACGCCAAAGGTGTTTCAGTTCTGCGTATGCTGCTCGAGCCTTGGAAATGCGGGCGGTTATCTCCTTTGCTGCACTACCGTCATTGGTCACGCAACTACCTAAGTAAGAAAAGCAATCCACCACAACTTAATCCTGGTCATTTAGCTTCAGAGCGGGAGTAGACGAAACCTAGTCCTGCAGCATCACTTTGCACCTTGAAGGTGCAAAGCACATACCGAATGTGGCCACTGCACTTGTTAATCTATCAAATGCACTTTGCGCGTCCTCCATACATTCGAACAGACAGACGATGTCATCGGCGTACTCTAAATCGTATACCTTTTCTCCAGCTGTCCATTCAATACCTACGTTTTGGAGGTATGTGAGCAGTGACCTCAGTAGGTTAACGTACTTCTGGGGCATTCCTTTTTGAAGAACAGAGCTCATCAGCGCTTCGCGGTCAACCGGGTCGAAGGCTCCTTTCAGGTCAAGGAACACTGCAATCGTTGGCCGACGGTGAGTGTAACGCAGCTCAAGGACATGACGCTGGAATCCGACTTGATGCTCACGGATGTTGGTCTCTCGTAAAGGCGTCAGACGTCGAAGTATAACCGAAGCTAACACTTTGGTGACGATCGGGATCAAACTAATCTCGCGGTGGTTTTTGCAATCGTTGCCAGATCCTTTCTTGAAAATGGGAACGATCAGTGACTCGCCCCAAAATGAAGGTGTGTTCTTCCATCCAAATGTTGTGCAGTAGGGTAGTAACACAGCTTACGAGGTTATCACCCCCATCTTGAAAAGAGTAGGAGGGAACTCATCAGGTCCTGCTGTCTTTCCTCGCCTCAGAGATTGAATGCAAGACCGAACTTCTGCTTCCGTTGGAGGATCGCATGACACTGCCCCCGGAGCTTCAGTTGCAGATGAAGCAGCCTGGTTAGCACAAGGCCAGCTGAACTGTTCGCTGAAGTATTCTGCCCAGCGATCGAATCGTTGATCCCTATTGTGAACAGCTTATCGCCTCTTATCGCAGATTGTTTCACTAACAGGGGTTCGCCAACCTCCCATATTGCGTATCAGTTGGAACAGTCTTTGACTATTCCCTGATGCAGCCGCTACTTCATTTCACTAGCTATTGTTGTCCACCAGTTCTCACGGTCCTTCTTGAGACTCTTCGTGAGCTGGTGTTGTAGATGCCACCTAACACCATTTTGATCCTGGCAGGTCGGGATTTGTTGTTGGGATTTTTTCTCCATCAAAACTACTGACTCTTGTGATACCCAATGCCTCCGACGGGTTTGAGGCTAAGACCCACAAGCAACATTCACTGCGGAATGCATTGCTCGCCTAATCTGATCCCACTGCTCATCTACATCACCATGTTGAGGTGCACTCAGCTCACCCACTAGCTCTGATTCATAGCGTACACGAACTGCTGGAACAGATAGTCGACGATGAGCTGTACGAGTTTGTTGAGTTCGTCGCCGGCCAGTCAGTCGAAGAGTGAACTGCATCAAAACTAATGCACGGTCAAACTCAACGCAGGTGATCCAACAGGACCCGTAATTTTGCACTGAGCCACGCCAACGGTAACCTACTGCTGTGTGGTCGATTTGAGTTAGCATACCAGTTGAACTGGTGTGCCACGTTGCCGTCCGTCAAGAGCTGTGTCGGAAGTTGGTGCTTGATAGGAACAGATGATGGTCTGCACAGAACTAAAGAAGTTGATTGCCGTTATGTTCGTTGGCTGGGCAGAGCACAACTACCGCCCAGACAAGCTTCTGATGCGCTCAGTTTTCTAACCTGCGCATTGAAGTCACCTGCACGTACAGCTTTGTCAGAGCTTCGACTCATCTGAATGAGATCGGTGAGTTGATCGTAGAAGGCGTCCTTTTGGGTATCAGAACTGCAATTGGTCGGTGCATATGTTGATACGATGAACAAATACCTTTGGTGTTGCTGCCCTTCCGGAAGCTGAGTGAACCCTGGAGACGCACTGCACATGAACGACTGTTGACGGGGATCCAATCGACGAGAGAGGACTCCGCCATGTTGCTAAGTGCAATACCTACCCCGCGCTGACC